GAGGCTTTGGTCCTGTGCCGTGGACACCTCAGTCACCCGATCTAACTCCAATGAACTTTTATCTTTGGAGTCACTTGAAGTAATTGGTTTACAATATCCCAATTGCTACGGTAGAAGAATTGCGAAACCGTATACTTACTTGAAGCTGCTGACACAATTAGGGGAATACCTGGAATTTGGGAAAATATTCGCCAAAATTGGGTGCGTCAGTGCCATGCGCTAATGGGGATCAATTTCAACATTTTCTCTAGAAATGGTAAGTTTTATTTCATTTTGTTCCATATTTTAATGGAGTTTGTTTATTGCACGCAATTGGGAACTACAGATGCTTACGGATGTGGTTTTGTCTGCGAACTCTTGCAGTAACAACAATGCATTTAAGATAGTAATTACTATTAATTATTATAATAAGAAAATAACAGTTTTTTTTAAATATCTATTTTTCTTAGTCTGTACTTTTGCACTGAAAAATTCTCCAAAAATTGAGAAGTACCTATCTTTCTATCTTTCAATGACGATTTGTTTGCGCGACTGGTGTACAACACGTAACTTATTGTACAGCATACGGACAGGACCGTTCCAGAGAAAATGTTTTGATCCATAATTGAACTTTAATTTATGAAAAAAAGAAACACAAAAATAGAACTTTTTCGTATAAGACTATTCTATTATAAATATAGTTAGGAAGCTGTAGTTCAGTTTTTATAGATTATACACGCCACACCCTGTATAAATGTTACGTTAGGCCACAAACTTTTCTATTGAATATTTTTGCCTGAATTTTTTTACCGTTGGTTTTTGGGGTCCCTGCTTACGAATCTGACGTCTGAATTTGCAAATTCCTGAATAAAAAATGGCGGATCCAATATGGCGGAGTAAAAATCGGAAAAGCATTCAAACTTTGAAGTTTATAGTTGAAAAAAAAATCATCAATCAACAATCAAAAAATACAGAAGATCTATATACTCATGTCTCTGGTACAGAACTTTTTTTGTGGAGTTGTGTAATTTGTCTATTGTTAATATTTCTTACAAATAATTTTAAATGAGCACTCTAAACTAATTAGCATAATAAATGTTATTTACAATTTTATGTATTTTTATTGCTTTGATTGTACAACTTTGCAATTTTCACGTCTAATATTTTTGAAGCAAATAAATATTATTTTCCAGGCAACTTGTTCATTGTTTCTTTATTATATTGGCACATTTTTTAGCTGACTCTTTTACAGAAAGTAGTACATTCATGTTGTTAAAAACATTACCGTCTGTCGAAGTTCGCTAGTTCGTTTCCAATTTAGAATTGAAGTGGTACTTCGAATAGTGTTTTTAATTATTACCAAAGTTTATATAATATATTTCTTACTTTTTATCTATAGATGTTTCTTTAAAGTTTGTATACGTTCCCGTGGGTTACCTTGTATACTAGATATTTAACATTTCTATTTAAGCAAAACAATTTTCCTGCAACACGCAATTGAGCGTTGGAGAAAATTCGTAAAACTTATTGAGAACTTCTGGAATCGTCCTCGGGTTACATACTACATAAAACGAGGTTGTGGCCGTAAATGGCGTATTGCTCGCTTTTGTGGTCCGTTATTTTTTGTAGACTTCTGGTTCAATTTTAGTAATCAGTTCTACTTTTGTTTTCATTACACAAACATGGGTCTTTTATTGCGAAAATTGTTTAAGTAGGGTAATTTATTTTTCTAGGTTCTCGTGTTTATTTTTTGTAATTGGTCTCGAACGAGACGTGCACCGAAACTTGTAAATAGTGATAGAACTATCGGTGGAGTCAGCAGTTCTAAAAAAGTTTTCTTCGTAAGAATATGGTAAGTCAGTCGGTATTAAAATAAATTATTTTATTTGCAAAAAATATTTCTGTCAACCTAGTTTTCACATCTCGATTTATGCAAAAATGGATGGAACGGTATTTGGTAACAGCATTATCGCACAGAAAACTTTGTTTTGTGATAACAAACCTCATATGCACCAAATGCAAAATTGCTTAATTCATACTTGAGGTACATATTTCAGTTCACAGATTAAGTAATCAATTGACGTCAGTGAACCGTGATAACATATTTCCGTCCAAGTCATATGTTGTTGTTATTTATATATTACGTCTTTTTAGTAAAAAAAAAAACACGGCTGGTTTCTAGAGATAGAACATAAATTAAAATTCCATGCATGGATCACTGAATGAACATCACACGACCGGCTATATCTAAAGTCAAATATCCTATCACCATCCACAACATAACCAGTTAAATTTTGTGTAAATTTCCTGGTACTCCTCAAAATAATATATCGTTTTGGATTCAAGTTGGATATCCGCTGAATCTAAAATAAGCCAGCGGTTTACTTTGCGTTTCTCCTAGATCTTTCGATAAATATTTACCTAAGTGAGCAAATTCTGCTGTTATTCAATTCATACCCGCAATTAATATGTTTCATGGAACAATTTATGTTTAGTATTGATCACCGACTATATTAAAATTAGACCAGACCATCTCCAAAAATTTAACAACAGAAGATAGGGAGATAGTTTATTTGTTCTTAAATATTGAATATTACCAGCCTGAAATATGGATGAAGTAATAATTTGGTTATATATAATATTATATGTTACCAGATTAATACACAACAGTTTGCAAACTTTGACAATAACAATATTGTAACTTAACCTTTTAATCTCCTTGCGCATTGCCGCCATTTTCATTGTTTCTCGAAACACCCATGAAAGAAAGAATAGGTTTCTAGAAATATCATAAACATAAACATAAAACATCACAGAAATGAGACAACCCTCAAATCTAAAAACCAAAAGCTGTGCTAGACTTGAAAAAAACATCGACATTGCCAGTGCCGACACCAGGGATCGAACCCGGACCAGAATAGAAAGTCTAGCCGAGAAATGCTTGCCACCGGGTGACCAAAAATAATGTCGAAGGGTAATCTCAATTCTCTACTGAAGACTATACTGCTGCATCTGGCCTCGGTTTCTAATTCTATATCTCTTACTGCTGGAACATTGAACACACCGGCGACATCAATTTTTTACATCTGCTCGACTACCTAGCCAGCAAAACCTTCCTCTAACTTTATTCAAAGTCTTGTTTACGCCGAAATGACCACCTACTCCGTCATGGACTTCCCTCAGTACTTCGTTGACTCTATTCCGCTGTAGTACGATTTGCGTTCGTACTTCACTGATATCTGGACTTTCTCACTGCCTCTTCAGTAAACCATTTTCTAAGATATTACCCAGTAACCTTTTAACGTTGATCCGATATTTCTGTCCATCTTGGTCGAGTACAACGTTCTTTCCAATCGATTTTAGACTGTCATCATTGCATTGATCTTCACTAAGTTTTCTAATTTGCCATTACCCAATCGTCACAATTGCTGTACTTCTAGGCAAGTTCCCAAAACTTTTTTGTCTCTGCTCGGTTGCAATGTTAACATCTTTCGGACGCAGTCTTCTAGATACTGCATCTGCGTTTCCATGAAGTCGTCCTCTTCTGTGTTCAATAGCGAAGGCATATTGTAACCACTGATCTATCTGACGTTTTGGGTTCTTAAACGGGAACAACCATTTCAGGGACGTATGCTCAGGCAACTCCTTAACTGATACTTGTCTTTTGGAATAGGCCAGTTTCGTACAACTTCAGTTTTCTGTATTAATATACACTAATGTGTTGACACCACTTGCTGATTTTACATGACCTAGGTATGGAACTTTAGCATCTAAGTTATTAATTGAATACAGGTTTTTAAGACAATTTCCGAACATAGTACGTATGTATAATATTGAACTGTTCAAAAGTATTCACTGTTTCTTCAGCATTTTCTTCTATGTACTCGAATACATACAACCAGATGCTAGTTTATTTTGATCAACTTCAGTATTTGGTCAATGTATTGAAATGTTATCATTTATTTAATACTAATAGCCGGGTCCAAGGTTACAGTTTCCGAGGCAGCATTGTTTTATTAATGTATTTTATTTTGAAACGATCCAAATTAATATGAATTAAGTCTATTCTGACCTTGTTGTTTGTTGTTTACGGCTATTTGGCTTATAATCCCATCTGATGAAGATGGAAAAAAGATATGAAAGATAATAAATGAATATGTTCAGTATTTATCCTATGTAACAGATTACATTCAGATATATCTACAGGTAATTTTTAACACTACCATTAATTGCCACACTAAAACATAATTTTAATTGTTGATTTAGACACTCTCAACACAATATCTTTAGCATCTCAGTCATTAATAAATTGAACACAGGTAGGTTTATATGAAAATTTTTTTTAATCTCATCACAGTACATATGTAAAATATTTAACTATTCAAATGTATGCTTTTTTGTATGTTATATTTACTGTATGTGACTAGAATTAGACTTTTAGTCTATTTTGAGAATATATTTGAAGTATTTCTTGAAATGTACTTTACCACAGTTGTACAAATTTGAAGTGCAATAAACGAAAGGTTAAATTATAGATTAATTACCCACTAGATATTATTCTAAGAGCTTAATCAATCAAACTAATTATTCTAGATCTCTGACCTCATGACAGAAAAGAATTAGAATCTGTTATGATTCCGTGTTCCATGCACTACAACAACATTAGATACAAGGTGGACAAATTTGATCGTGTTTTAGTGGATTAGTCCTATTAGATACCAAATAAATGGGTAATAAACAATTGCAGTATTTCAAACTCAATTTTCCTCATATCTCGATTCGTATAAGACAATTTCTTATGATTTCCGTTGCTAGTGATATCTTTATTTTATTATTACTTAGGACTTCTTTCAGTATCATTAATGAGCATCCAAACTCATAGAATTATAGACACCTTTTAGTAAATTAATCGCAATTTCTATTAACCTCCCGTTTCCAAAATTTTGGCCAGACTACTTTGAATTGTAAGGCACAAATAAACAAACTCGGACAATCTGTACTGTAGCAAATATGAAACTTACATATGCTGGACCTGATCCACTGAGGGCTGTTATGGGGTCGAGCAGTCCTTCTGGAACCTGTTCGCAGGTTCCAACGGATTCCAACAGTCTTTTCGTAATCCTAACATCGGCTTCTGTTGCCTTTCTGCCAGTCACAAAAACGGATGCAGCGTTTCTTACTAAGGCAGGGGTGTTTGGCATGATCCTTATTACTCTAGATGAGGAGGGAAGTAACTAAAATCAGACAAAAAATTTAATTTCTCCTGGGTAAGTACAAAGAGAATGATTAACGGACTAAAAAGTAACATCCTTTAAATTCAAGATACACAAAATAAAATTGGCCTGTTCTATTAGCGAGGCCCGTGCTACTCCCAGAGACCAAATCTGCCGTGGAAAATGCTACACTTTTTTGTAAATATCCAAAAACCACTTCAAAACGAAAAAGGACTCCTTTGCTCTTTGCGAGAATATATAACATTTACTAATGAATTCAAATAACAAAATGAGCTTCGCGGGCCTCTTGTACAATTTGTCACTGCTCACAAGATCTTCATCAACCACATGAAATAAGTTGAATTATGCATCATCGCAATTATCTAACAGCTGATATTTACCTGTTCCAGCGCTTTCGTCGACACACCCATCACTATCGAGAGGAACAGTTTGTCAGCCTCCAAATTGGACGATTTTATTTCACTAAGTGCCACTGATACAACCGATGGCTTCACAGATATTATCACAATGTCTGAATTTTGAACTATAGGTACGTTTTCGAATACTGCCTCGGCTCCGATTTCCTGTGCACAAAGAACGTTAGAGAATTTTACACCAAATCGTTTTCTACAAACATATATCTATGTACCTGCCTTAAAAGCGTTCGCTGATACCATATCTGAGGGATGACAGCTGGCAATCAACTTGTCGCCCTTTGTTAGTCCTGTGAAAATTAAATTTGTATGACCATGGTACTATTAGTGGAGTCAAAATAGCTGAAAATTACGCATTATTTCGAAATAATTGTGGGAAGCATGGATTTTCCTAAAACCTTTTGAAATAACTTGGAGATAAGTATTAGAAAAAAAATTATAAACTTATATTTGTACGTTAATTGTTTTTTAATTGTTTAAACAATAATAAATAGTTCTTTTTTAAGAACATTTAAAATAATTCAATGAATTTTAAATCGAATTCTTTCAAATTGACAATATAGGGGTTTTCGATGTCGCTGAACAAGAATATGAAGTCGGAAAATGACAATTCAAAATGGCTGATCCAATATGGCCGACTATTTTATACAATGTATTTAACAATTATCGATTTTAAATCAAACTCGCTCATATTTGTAATCTAGAGGTTCTAAAAATGAAAATTATAAATGGCTAAAGAAGTTTTATTGAAAATATGTTTTATTTTTAAAAAATAAATTTATTACAAAATAATTAATATTTAAATCTCATCGAGTTCTTGCTTTTATCAGTTTTAGAGGCATAGTGCATAGGAACTTTTTTGTTTATAATGTGCCAAGAAACCAAAAAAATTTTCCGGAGTGAAAAAACCAATTTTTACAATTTATTTAAAAAAAGTTTGTTTAAACAAATGGCCACCAGATTTCCGGCCGGCATCATCTTGATTCATGTTAAGGAACATCTCACGAATCTGAATATGCAATAAAATCGAGTCGGAAAATTTATTCCACGAATGCGAGGTTTTCACCTTGTCTAATTTACCACGTTATTTTTTGCTGTTATAACAATTTTCCACTTATTACTATAAATAAAAAAAATATTTTTCGCTGGATTTACTTTTTTTAAGGTCTTAACTTAATTCTTTGATGGTTTATTAAACAAAAAAAAATTTGTACATCATTAAACTTTATTTAACAATAAATTCCACTGATTTTTCATGAAATATTTTTATTTTTTGTTATTTTTTGTTTTTTCAACTATTATTTCAATTTTTTAAGAAAAATAAAATGCACCATCTTAAAGTAGAGATTTTAAGCTTTAAAAAGTGCTCTCATAAAGTTTCAATATCACATTTACAATATAGTTTTTGATCTATAAAATATGGCCTAAAAAGTCAAATTTGTGATTTTTAAAAATTATTGAATATGTTGGGCTCAATATTTTTTAAATTAAATTTTGACGAGTAATCTGTGAAAGTTAGATATTATTTTAAAAATTAAAAGAATGACAGCTATTTTATTATTATTGTACAAAATTATACAATGACGTAACTTTGTATACGTACTATATATTTTTTTTCTCAAGCTTAAAGACATACAATTTTGATAGCCGGATGACTCTTCTTTCATTTAAATTTTTGTGAGGTGGATTTGATCAATTAGATCAAAAGTTATACCAAATTTAGTGTAGCGCGCTCGGGGCCGCGCGCTCTTCGAGAGCTATACTTGGGGGCCGCCCGTCTCATTTTTCGTACGTTAGAAAAAAAATTCTACAGCCTTCAATTCGCAATTTAGAAAACAACTTTATTAACATTTGTAAAATTTCCTGTTCTTTCGAATGGCGCAGTTAATTTTATTTATTATTAATTATATTTTTTACATATTTTGCAAAAACTGTAATTTTGCAACTAATTTGTTAAATAAATAATTTAGCGTACACTCTACAGTTGGTAACTTTTTATATGTTGTTTCTGACAACTTTACAAAGCGAAAAATAAAAAGTTCTCTTTTCCAGTAATTTTCGCGAAGTGAAAATTTATCTTGACTACACTATATATTCCATATAATAAACTAAAATCTTCAATTAAGTAGGTACCTACATCTTCTCTGATGAGATACCTATCTAACTTTAGAAATATACTAATAACACTATAAATAATGATTACAAATAGGTAAAACCTAAATATTCACTGTTTCTGCATTTCCACATAATGAGACTGAAATAGAAAATTGGTTACGAAGAAAAAAGGCTAACGGGGAACCGAAGTTCATAATAAACAAAAATAAATATTTATGCTTAGAATAATAACTCTTTTCACTAATGAAATAGAAGAGAACTAAATAAAAAATGTTAAATCAAGTTCGTGTCCTCAAAAATAACTAGGATCCCATTAGTATCTAATTTTGGTTCATCGTAGTTTGTTTAGGAAAATAATATACGGGTGTCTACACTATTTTATTTATTTAAGTACAAGTATTTAACTTTTCGTCAAAAAAATTTTAGGAAGTTAAAGAGAACATATAGGGAATAGCTTGATCTACTATCTAGTTAAAAAGTATATTATTAATAAAATCATTAATTTTTTTTTGTATAATCTAAACTAATAAAAATTATACGTGTTACTAAACCAGACTCATTACGTAAGTGTTTTTAACTTCGGGATATATTCTTTGTTCTGTTTACAAATACATGTAAATAAGTTTTAAGAAATAGGTTATCTGGTTATCATGTCATACTATATTATTTAAAAAACTGTTAGAGTTGAAAGAAAGAGATGAAAATACTTTTAAACACTAATATTTCTAACATTGTGTGGATCACAATTGCAAGCGCGGAAAACTATTAGCCCAATTTGTTTTTATCATATTTTATCAGATGCAAAGTCATGTTAGGATATAAAAATTTGAAATTCTTTTATCAATTCATTAAATTGCATTTTAGTATCAGTGCCAACTTATATCACAAAATACATTTTCTTTTTCTAGTTAGCTGTGTTTTACATCTGAATTATGTTAATAGTTATTTAAATGGATAAAAGGCAATTAAAACACGAATGCAATACAACGTTTTATCCATAATCACATCACAATCATATTTGTGGAGTCAGAATTATTGGAATTTATTAAAAAAATATTCGCACGACTTGATATTTCTTACTAGTACTCAATGAAACGTGGTAGGTTTTGTTATACCTACTGATTGCTATGGTATATTGTTTATTATCAATTATTTAATAAACAGTTCTATCTGAATTTGGTGAAAATGCAAGAAAGTCATTGTGTTCCTGTGGCTGTTTTTGAAGAAGCTCATCAATAAGCATTTTTCCATTTATTGCCAGCGAAATCCAGAGAACATTACGAAAAAGTGTTCGCAGAATTTAACGAATCGACGGAAAAACGGAGAGTAATGAAAATAAATGAAGAAGACATGCTATCGTATTTTTTAAATTTGAAGAAAAAATATACAATTATATGTATGTGGTCGAAGTATTCGATGTTGAAGGATACTATTCAGGTCTACAAAAATATAGATATTAGAAAATATAACAAGCTTATTGCTTATTTGAAGAGTGAATCGAGAGGATACAAAACAAAAAAAAGCTGCAGTATTGGAAAGAGCACATATTGAAGAATTTTTGACTGGGGCTTCCGATAAAGAATATTTAATGATTAAGGTAATATCTCTTTACCTTTTACATGTTGTTAGGTATATAGTGAACTTTGAATTATTTTACAGCAATAATGGGGGTTTCTGGTGCTGTCGATGATGTGAATTGACAAATTTGAAAATTAGTGACGTACAGGACGTTGGCAGTTACCTACTTGTTTCAATATCTGACACCAAGACGGGCGTTTTAAGGAAATTTACAATTATAGAAGAAGGATTGCGTGAATGTTGTTGAACTATGCAAAAAATATATTTCTCTGCGCCCAATTCGCCTAATACAAGACAGATTCTTTTCAATAAAAAATGTACTTCTCAGCCTGTTGGAATCAACAACATTGGTGAAGGTATCCTTAATAGTTGCTTCATTCCTGAATATCACAAATTCAGAAGAATATACTGGCCATTGTATGAGGCGCACTTCAACAAATTTATTGGCCAATAAAGGTGCTGATCTTACGACCATCAAACGGTATGGTGGATGGAAGAGCTCCTCTGTGGCAGAAAGTTATGTTGAGGAGTATATATCTAAAAAACTTGATATTGCAAAAAAATGCAAGAAAAATATAACTGTTGCGTACAAGTAGATACAACTGTCGCGTACAACTTGTGCAAATTCTTCACAAACTTCGGCAGATGTTATGCGTTCCGAAAATAATGGCAACAATGCTACAAGGGTTGTTATTAACGGAAAGGAAGTTAAATGTGATAAAACAAAAAAAACGAAATGTCTATTACTATATATGTAAATGTTAATGTTAATAAGTAAATAAATTAAATTTGATTTATTATAGATTTATTGTTTTTTTTTTATTATTCCACTAGTGGATAAAGTACGTATCACTTTAGACGGTTCATATGTGTGGATAAACGTCCGATTATAAGGTGATTGTGGATAAATATATTTTTGTATTTTAAAAGCTTACATGGAAATGCTAAAATTTATAGCAATGTTAGCTTAGGTCAGCGACTATCAGACGGAGGACAATCTTTGCTTGTAAATATAAATATGGAACCTCTGAATCAAAATTTGGAAGATATCGAACTTTATTTAAAAAATTGTAAACGTAGTATCTGGATAAATGGGATGAAAAAACAGTTAACAGCAACAGAATAAATGTTTTTAACATTTGTGTATCTAATTTCTTTTTTTTTAGAAAATTGTAATTTCCATCTTGCCTAGCAAAAAGTTTAAAGTCACTGCAAAATATACAGGATGGTTTATTTAAAACAAAAAAAATCAGACAGAAGTTGGTAAGATATAACCAAAAAAGCAAACGGTATGTACACTACAGTAAAATTTATTTGAATGGTGGGGTAAATAAAATTAAATGTATCCCCTATTTGAAAAAAGGAATAAAGCTATAGATATGAACTATTTTGTTATATATTATATAATTCAGAAATAACCGGATCTGGATCCAAGATTTAGATGGATACTTGCAGTCATCTAGGTTTTTCACTGGACATTAATGGTTATTTATACCGTTTCTGAATCTAGTCACAGGTTTCAAATATTTTATTTAATAAATAATTCTACATAAAATTATTAGACACATTACTGCTCTACTTATTACATTAAACATACCTGCTGAAATAAATCCCTTTGCCATTGCTTGAGCCATTTTACCACCACCAATAAATCCGATTTTTAACAGTTTACTAGCCATGATTTAAGCTTTCTGTGGAATACTTTGAACCACTTTCACAAATAAAACTCACACAAATCACTGATAAAATTACCTACTAATATTATTTTTCTAGTCGATACCTATTTGTAATAACAGTAAATACTTTATAACAACGGTATTTACTTTTCTTTCAAAATTACTCAATTCAGAGAATAACTTGAAGAGGGTCTAAACAATGACCGAACTTGAATATTTAATGATATGGAAATAGCAATTAAAACATCTACTGATAACATGAAGCAATATATACATTGGTTTATCAATAACACAAGAGCAACAAAAAAAATAGATTCCGTCCTATCTACGCTGTCGGAAAATTATTGTTGTTTTCGAAATTTATCTATTTTAATGAACTTTGAAAGGCTGATAACAAATGTAAACTGAAGAAGTTAAAAATAGTAGTGAAGTGAATATCCTATATGTAAACTTTATTATATTTAACCATTTTGTTTGTGAGGATGCCAATGATTTGAAAATTTTTGCATACTACATTGGCGAAAGAAATTAATGCGTCACCTGACATTTCAGAAAAGTGTAGTGTTCAATATTTTCTGTCGTTTTTATCCGATTAAGATTTTTTTTTTTAGTATGAAGTAGATAACTAATTCGCGAGGAATGGCGATGTAAGAACTGAAATCAGTTTCGATACAATCCTGGGGGAAATTTTGAAAACGTTTTTTTAGAAATCTAATAACGCCCTGTAAAGTACACTAACATCATCACCTGATAAAAAAATTAATGAAACAGGAAGAATTAGTTACGAGTTAGTGACTTGATTGGAATTAAGCGCATTCGACACCTGAAGCAGAAAGAAATTGTCGTAGTGAAAATTAATCTGTTTTGAATAACCGCCAATACTCAACTTTTCACCGATCTTTCCAAGATTTCTCGCGGGGCCCCGCAGACGTTGCTATTGCCGCCAGAATCGTCAGAGAAGCACCCACGACGAAGGGCATAAGCAAGCGACAGAGCATATTCCTCTACATGGAAATTCACCGATATTTTGAAAAATTTCACCGATGTTTCTAAAATTCATCCGTCAAGCCACTCGGATGAGACAAGACTCCGTTTCCTTGGAGGACGACGGCAACGTGTGCCACTCTCTCCCCGAGGTCCCCGAAGGATACAAGGAGTGTCAAAATAAAGTGTCAAAATATAGTGCAAGTGTGTCCAAAGTGCATCTTAAGTCGTACAAAATAAATTAGAGGATGGAACGTCAAACAGAAGTAAAATAAGAATTTGCAATGGACGAGCGATCACCTCCTGACGTCCCTCGTGTCAATAGTTAAGGGGGAAAGTGGAAAAAGATAACCACTTGAGAACCCTTTCATCGGCGAGCGGGCGGCGACTAACGTTCCAGCATTGCAGGTGCAAACGGATCCAGACAGAAACGTTCCATCCAGACCCATTGTGAGCGTTTACGACCCTCTAAACATGTTAAGGGGAGATGATGGTAAGTCAACTCCACCGCAAGCTAGTTAGACCGAGTAAAATCCGTGTCATGGCGCTCAACGTAAGGCTATGACAGGCGACAGACAACCGACCTAAATAAATCCGCAACATGGCGCCCAACGTGGGGCTATATGAATATACCGTTCACCTAACTAAATCCGCGACATGGACGTAAAAGTTCTGTATTTTTAAAGGCTGTACATACTTCTTGCTAAGCCCTAAATAAGTAAATTATAGCTATTATATAATCACAGTATGTACACATACAGATATTTTCACACACGCCTTAGCAACATGGTCTTATCTATTATTTATTAACGAGATTAACAAATAATTCCGTTGCAAATTCTCAAAATAACTGGTAATGATATTTTAAAAAAAAAGATAATTTCATAATACCTAATTACAGTTATCGGATGGAACTGGACTTTGTAGGTTACTTTTAATTATACGTTTTATTTAATTCTTGAAAGTATATTCATGAGAGCAAATTTAAATTAGGTAGGTTAAATTTATCAAAGTAAACTACTTCTACTGTTGGGGTAATTTAAAATATCAAAACTTCCCAAACAATACCCAATGACCTATAATTTATATTTTTTAAAAGTTAATTTTCTCATAAATCCTTACATGAGGATAAGGTATAGATGTACATAAGTTTGTTTTTTTTTAGATGGTACCTACTTTTTGCATGCATGCTTCTGTGTCCATTTGTTCTACAATGCAAACTTGTTTCTTTTTTTTTCAAGCTGACTGGGTGTTGTTTTTCCTCTGTCTTAAGCTGTAGCCAAGAGAGCAGGTTAGCATCAGCGCAGTCCTACCTAAGAAAAAAATTTATCCACCATGCACATGCAGTGTCATAATTCCTGAATTATTTATTTTTGGTTTCTCGAATTCCCTATTAATATTATTCTTATAATCTTATTTGTCAAATAGATTTCAGTATGTCCTATTTAAGATAAGGATTACTTAGCCACATCTGGAGAACTACAGGGATCTGTTCTGGAGCCCCTACTGTTCAACATTTTTATCAATGATATAATCAATTGTTTATATATTAATTGCCTTTTCTATGATGATGTTTTGAAAATATTCTTAACCATTGAGAACTTCGACGATTGTATATGTCTTCAAAATATGTAATTTGATTCAAATTCATAACCGGTGCCAATTGAATTGACTTCCTATGAATGCTGAGAAGTGCAACAAATCTTATACTTTAAAATCATCGAAAATAATATTTGACTATAATTTTAGTGGTTACTTTAACTCGACCTAATACTTTTTGCAATCTCAGTGTTATTTTTGATGACAAACTTATCATTCAATGCATGTAAGGTTTCATAGTCAGAAACAGTAAAGATTTTGTCCAAATAAACAAGCTAAATAAACTTCGTATTTTTCTTTTGTTTGATCTAAGCTTGAATATGCTGCATCCGTTTGGTTTCCTCACTATAATTCATTTGTACAAAATATCAGACTTTTATGAATTTTTTTAATAACGATTTCTGGGATTCAGTACATGCATTTCCTCTTCATGTAAGACAGAACCTCGCACCTATTCATAATGCGGCAATAGTACGTCATTGGTTGAATGAGTATTTCCCGAAAAAGTGAATAGGTCACAACAGTCCATTAGTTGAGTGGCCTTCAAGACCACCAGACTTGACGCCTCTTGATTTTTTTATATGGGGAACTGTGAAAAAGATAATATATAAAACAAGGTCCCAGAACAGAAAAGATTTACGTAATATATGCCACAACTCTTCACACGAGCCAATAGATTCTTTGTAAACTATATCTTTCATTCGAGACCAAATAGAAAAATCAAGAGGATTGAAGTCCGGACTCCTGGATGGCAAAGCAAAAATGCTTACATGGCCATTCCAGCGATTTGGAAAAACTAAATATGCACACACTGGCCAAGAAAAATGCGGTGGAGCTCCGTAGTGCATGAACCACATGTCTCTTCTTAAATAAAGTGGAACTTCTTCAAGCTGTGGAAGCATTTTTACTTGGCCACCCAGAAGTCCGGACTTCAATCCTCTTCATTTTTCTATTTGGAAGAATCTATTGGTTCGTGTGAAGAGTTGTGGCAAAAAATACAAATCGCTGTCAATGAAGTCAAACGCAATCCCAATACGTTGTTTCAAACTCAAAGATCTCTCAGAAAAAGTTGTGTAAAGTGTGTAAATGTCAACGTTGGATTCTTTGAACACTGATTTTAAATCATCATTACAAATTTCATTTGTTTTATTGTTAATTGTTGTAATAACATGAAGAAACACTTGGTTTGTTTCGCTTTTAATTTCTCATATTATCAAAACATAGTGTTCGTTAAATGGATTTTTCTCGAAAACGGATTGAAATACCGAAATGAAACAAGAATACACAATTAATGGAAAAATGATTGCTCTTTCAAGTTTTGAATCAAGTTTCATGTTAGACATACAGGGTAAAAAGTTATTAACTAAATTTTCGGTAAAATTGGTCGTAAGTGGCGCCCTCTATAAGTAATGCTGAAATTACAACACGCATCTTATTCGTCACCCAAAAAATACAGTTTCACAAATTTTCAAGTTCGTAACCTACATAATTTCAGAATAATCGCAAAAAAACGATTTAAAATTTTAACTTTCAACACCCTGTATTTCAGAAACTTTCAACTTTCGGATAAGGCATGTTTGCGTCAATGCTCACCATTTCACGTGTAGTATCTTCAGCTCTTGATTTTCCCATTGTTAATGAATCACCCTGTATATACTTTTTTGAATTGCATTTTTTAATTGTTGCTGCTCTCTTTTTATATGTGGCAAAATACGAGTAGTTTTTAAGCATGTTTTTGTTGTCCATTGTTTTTTTTCTTCTTCTGAAATGTCTTCTTCTGTAGTTGGGTGTTTACACCTGTACAACAGTGTGTTAATAAATAAATAAACTGGAAGTTGTAGGAAAACATCAGGTATGTACACAGCTATTTAGGAAAAACTGTGTAAAAAATTATAAAAAAATAGCCAAAATGATAAACATCCTGTATATTTTAAGTGAATCAATTGTTGAAAGTTAAGACTATGACATCTAAACTAGTTATTTCTATACAGGGTGTTAGAAGTTTGACTGCCTTAATTTTAACAGATAGAATATATTAAAAAAATCTTATATGACACGGGTCCTAAACTCAACCATTTCCGAGAAAAAAATTGTCAAAATCTCCAACTTGATGTACAAAAGTTCGATTAATTAAGGAATATTAACATAACTGCGTGCATAGAATACCATAAAATTCAACGTTTATCACTTGTTTGAACTTCTTTGTGTTTAATTCTAAAAAATATTTAATTAATTCAGTTGGTATCTGGATTCAATCATGTCGGAGTGTTTTTTGCTTACCATTTCCATTTCTCGAGGTGTTTTCCAGCGAGTGCGCGAAAATTGGATAAATAAAACTTTCTATCAACAGTAAAAATGAAAGTATTTTTATTGAAAACAAGTTAGTGAAGAAGAATACGTGTTGTCGGGGCGAGCTTTCACTGGAGAGTCGTCGTGGTGGGGAGATATTCGTAGGTATACGGTTCTTGGCGCCAATCTGCCGGGGTCTTCTTCCGGGAATCCTGTTCTGTCCGGACGGCGTCAGGCTGGCACTCTTGACGCAACACTTAAAGTACCTGGTCCTTGGCGCCAGTCGGCCGTCGACCTTTTTTGGAACCCTGTTGCGTCCCTGGTGGTGTCAGGCTGGCGCGTAGTATTTCTGCGAACGACTCCACACCACGAGGACTCTCCAGCAAACGCTCGCCCCGACAACACATATTCTTTTTCCCTAACTAGTTTTCAATAAAAATTGTTTTATATTTACTGTCGAGAGAGTTTTATTTGCTGCACACTGAAAGCAACCCTCATAGGTATGATTATTTGGACGACCTGCACCTTTGGCTATTTCAATTACATATTTTTCAAATATGTAGTTTGATTAAAAGTTAAGTTCCTGTTTTAAGATTCATAATTACTAAAATTCGACATAAAATTTAAGCACAACACTATCTTCGTACTACAAAATCGATACATTTTATTTTATTTATTTAAAAACTGGAAAACAATCGTCATGAAATTTACTAAATGTTTCACGATAATAGTTGTTTACATTTTTGTTATTCCATAGGACAAGTCTGCTGTGTGTACAAGTGGTGTGCATCAGCAGGTTAAGTGCTGATGTCACATGATGAAACTCCCCAATATTAATACTCGCTATATTTTGAAATGGCAATCAAACTTCTTACACCCTGTTTCAAGAAACAAACTCTCCCTCCCAAAAAAATGTCGAATTTGGCCCACAATAATAAAAATGTAAGTAACTTACTGGAATGTGATCAAAGACCGTTTTTTTCAATTAAACAAAAAATTATCATTTTGACAATAAATTTACTTACCTTAACCAATCGTACCTGTGCAAATTTTCTTGTAATAATCGATACTCGCCTTCAGGACTTTTTGCTTATGAAGTTGATTTGGATTATAAAAAAAAAAACTATTTTCTATTTATCAATAACTATATTTGTGTGAACAATTAATTAGTTAAGTTGGTTTGATTCAACAGTTTATGTTAAACATTCTCTTCATGTTTTAAACGTCTACAAGTATCAAACTGGAATAAATATTTCTAAACTAGATGTTTTTTGATAAAAATGTACATCACTTTATGGATACTGGTTAAAATTTAAAAATATATATACAGTAATACAAATCCAATCTAAACAAAAAATTTTGAGCTTCCTTAAATCCACCATGGGCTCAGCTTTCATCGAAATAAAAAAAATAAAATCGTAAATTACTTACCAACGTAACCTATATTTAAATACTGTACAAACGCAACAAATAAATTAGATTTTTATACTGTAAATTGACAGGCGGGCAATTGACACAAGAAATGACAAACGAATTAAAAAAAACTTCAAAAACCGCAATAAACTTACGTAAATTTATTAAGACAAATTTATTTAAAAAAAATTACACAATAAATAAAATTAATTACTATGAATCTACGTACATAAATATTGTCAATCACATTTGTACAAATACAAAAAAAATAATAATGCAGTAATAAAATAAACTAGAAGAAAATTCCGATAACTGATACATTTTGAACTGTAAATTAAAATAACGAGAATAGTGCACGATGTTTGCACTAGATCTACGTTAAAATGGGATACTTATTTAATATACCTACAAGATTCAATTAAAATCACAATCCACTGACCTTTCAGTCAAGCATTGTTTACAAAGTTTACATTTGTGAACACGCACAACTTCTGAAAACTAATTTGGCCCCGTTAAATCCAGAAAAATTTTCGTTAAAATAAATTTACACGCATCCAAAATTATGGAACATTCACATTAAGCAGTTTTAATATATTCCGACTCATATTTTTGATAATATTTGGCGTAATAAAATCCGTCCCTACTTAATATTTTTTTTATTTTGTTCACAAACATTAAAATTTGCAAACTAGAGAGTTTATTTGCTAAAGGGATAAGGTAAATGCTATTGGACTGGATCTAACATATCTTTGAGGCGTTTCATGACGTGTGAACCGATGTCTTGTACTTCAGGCCACTGTCTTAATATAAAAGCTATTGCTATCACTAAGACCACCGTCGAGAGGATTCTTAACCTGGAAACAAAACATTTATGTGTGCTGTAATATTTAACACAATCACATTTTATGGTACTTGTGTAATAAAAGTTGAAAATTAGTAAATTAGTATAAATATTAGTCGAAGGATGTTGGAGAAATATAGTTGAATTATCAAGAATACGTTTAGATTTGTCTTAGGAAAAAAAAAGAGGAACAAATCTATACGTTATTTCAGTATTACTAAAATATACAATAGGTGATTTGCAAGTACCCTAAAATATTAAAAAGTTATTTTACTGTTTATTTTAAGAGGGTGTTGCGCTAAGGTTGGGTGGCCTTGATAAAATGTTGGTGGGGATGCTGGGAAGTTGTATCTAGCCATTCATTTGTCAGTAAGGCAGTATCCAATGGGACAAGTGGAGGATGTTTATCTGACCATTGTGCAATGCATCATCAAATTACTGACGAAGAAAGGATTTCACAGGCTTCTTGTTTTTTTTGACATAAAACTATTTAAAACTAAAAATTACCAATTTTTTTTATTTAATATCAGGAAATCTGCCTTACTGACACAGCGATGTGTTCGAGTTAGATGCCTTATCCCCTCAAGGCCAATCCAACCATATTTGATTCATCCTCGTAGCAAGAAACCTTCATACAAGCAAACGCCTAAAATATCCCTTTTCTTAAATTTAGAACAGTGTTTTTGCTTTTCTATGCATTATACATTTTTGTTTAATATTTAATGTCTTATGAATGGATTTTTATTATTGTTACACAAATCCCTCATCAAAAGGCATTACTACTGTACTTCCATACAAAATTACTGGTCATTGGCTTGTATTCATTTGTGAAGGCTCTATACAGGGTGTCACCTAACGAATGTTACATACTTCGAAGGGTATAATTTAGAACTCAAATGGTGTCGATTTAACTTGCTTAATTGAAAATTGTCACAAAAAAGTTACAGGGTATTAAAGTTTCTTTTCTTATTTCTTGTTTTCTCCTCAACTCAGAACTGATTTGAGCAAAATTTGCTGTTGCTCAATTTCTCTTCATGAATTATGCAGTGATTATGTTCCTATTAGGTTAAATCATACAGGGTGTTCATTTTACTACCCTTTGTGAATATTCTTCTAACTTCTTTGTACGTTTAAATTTTTACATGCAACAATTTTTACTTTTGTCTTTAACGCCGTTATTGTAAATAGTTATTGTTTAGTTAGCTCGTAAATATTTCCAGTCATTTCGTAGTGGGTAGAAATTAACATTGACATTGTATTTGTACAAAGTTTTAATATTTTCCACGTGAATAAATCCAGTAAAATTAATAGGTGTATTTCTGTCAAAACGATAAAATTCCGAACCAGCAAAAACGCTGATACCGTTTTGTAGGACTCCCGTTTAATTTTATATTTAAAATAAAACTACACTGAGAAAACTACTCTCTGCCGTTTTCTCCAAAAAGAAATACAATTGACCCCTGGAATTTATTTTCTTCACTGTAGCTACCTGTGCACTTTAAACCGAGGGTAAGGTTTACGTGGAGTTTCCCCCACGTAAAATATAGGGAAACTGGCGCCCGAGACTAACCGAGTATAACAACCGGAGTTCGTCCCTGTGACGTTACTCATTCCCCCTGGCCGCCGACCACCGCTGCCGATACAGTCCGTTAGTTGAAGGAGCATCACGAAAATCAGCGTCCGAATAGGGATGGCCATGACGTGTAAAAACAATAAATAAATTATTAACTAATTTTGCCGTTTAGAGTTCAGCCCGAGGAATAAGAGACCTTTCCGAAAATTAGTTACAAGGGGTACACACACTATAGCTAAAAATAATAAAAAAACACAACCGACCGACCTAGAGAGAATCGAGAGAAAAGAAGAGGTGCGTCATACACCTTGTATAAAATTTGCTTGAACCAGACCACCAGCTGACATTAACATTTTAGAAACGATTTCTCCAGTTACATAACAGAGATCACAATTTTCTCGGGAGAATTGCCTTTACAGATGAAGCTGTTTCTACGCGTAGAGGTGTTTTTAATTGGAAAAATTCTCATGTGTGAAGCAAAGAAAACACAATAAAAGAGCATTACTTCCAATACGAATTTTCAGTTAATGTCTGGTGAGGGATTATAGGATATGGGCCTATCGCTCTACCTGCAAGGTTGAACGGCCAAAATTATTTGGAATTCCTTCGGCAAGAACTCCCTGGGGCTTTCGCAGAAGTACTCGTTAAAACTAAACGACAAATGTGGTTCATGCGTGATGAGCTGCAATGACAGCCATTTGGTGCGAGATCATTTAAATCAAGCAATTTCAAATCGTTGAATTGGTCGAGGTAGTGACTTTCCTTGGCCTTCTCGCTGTCCGGATTTTAATCCGATAGACTTTTACTTGGGGTCATTTGAAGGGAATTGTTTACAACTCTGTGACATCTAATACGGAAAAAGAATTTTGGCATAGAATAAAAGACGCCGTATGACAAGTTAGATAAAATGTTTAAATGAGGAGAAATGTGTTGAAGAGAATGGGGGACACGTAGAACATTTATTATAAATTAGTAGACTCTTTATTACTGCCACCTTTCAGTTTGTTATGTTATTAATTATGTTATTTATTATGGATATGTAGTTATTTCCAAAAAATATGGGGTATGTGTTAATAAATATTTTCTGTAAAATCTTCATAACCGAGCATGATTTCGACTTTTGATAGGTATATACATTTTTTGTGTAGAATAAAATTCTCTACGTACTTCCGATAGTTGTGTGTAAAAATTTATACGTACGAAAAAATTACAGAAAAATATTCACAAAGGGTTGTGGTAAAATGAACGTCCTGTATGATTTAACTTAATAGGAACATAATCACTGCATACTTCATGAAGAGAAACTAAACAACAGCCAATTTTGCTCAAATTGGTTAACTGAGTTCCGTGTTGAGGAGAAAACAAGAAAAAAATAAAGAAATTTTAACACCCTGTAACTTTTTAAGCGACATTGTTCATTCAAGTTTGATAAAATCGAAAATTTGGATTCTAGATTATTCCCTTGAAGTATGTAACATCCGTTAGGCGACACCCTATATTTTATTAATGACACGAAAAAAAAATTGTTACAATTGCAATTCTTAGTTAGAAATACACGGTGTTCTCAAAGTTGAGTAATTTATTTTAACAGCTAGTAGAACTCGTTTACATAAAAGTAGTCAAATAAAGCAATTATTAACAATTATTTTTAAAAATTGAAATTTAAAAACTTTATAATACAAACCTGATTTATTGTCATTTTCCACCGCTCCGTTGTAAAAACATAAATTGTTTGTTTACTACTGATACTGAGTATGTTTTTTTTTGTAGTTGCATGGTTTTGAGTACACTTTTTGATTTGACAGTGCTAAATAATTCTACAGAAGTGCGCGATATTATTTTTGATTTGTGGATGTTTTGTCGAATAAAAATGGCACATGTTTATGAAAACAATGAACTAGTGGACATAATATTAACTTACCGGGAGTGTCAACAAAATGCAACCACAGCATGTTTGTAAATTTGGTTATAAATCCACGGAGCCGGATGATTTCGTAAAGGAAACCTTTCCGCGTACAAGCGACATGCTGCGGCTGCATTTTGTTGACACTCCCCGTAAGTTAATATCATATCCACTAGTTCATTGTTTTCATAAACACTGTGCCACTTTTATTGCACAAAACACCCACATGTCAAAAATAATATCACACACTACTGTATGAATTATTTAGCACTGTCAAATCGAAAAGTGTACTCAAAACAGTGCAACTACAAAAAAAGACATACCCAGTATCAGTAGTAATCAAACAATTTATGTTTTTACAACGGAGTGGTCGAAAATGACAATAAATCAGTTCAATCATAAAGTTTTTACATTTCAATATGTTTTAAATAATTATTAATATTTGCTGTATTTGACATTTATATAAACGATATTTGGTAAATCGACTTTTTTTATGAGTTCTACCAGCTATTAAAATAAATGACCCAACTTTGAGAACACCCTGTATATTATGACAGTAATACCCAAGTAACATGATTATTAATGGCATTTTGCAGATTTTAATAAGATTAATTTCAATTTAAAATGACCTGAATGTATTCCTGCTGTTTTTTTTCTTTCATGTATTTATGAACATTTAAGTGCAAATTTCTTAGCTCCATTTCAGGCAGACGCTGACAATCAGCACACTGACAATCAAAGGTGGTGTTTCTTTTCACATGGACAGTAACAAAATGAACTTCAACAAGGTAGATAATGAAATATTACAATATCTGCCGCCTTCAATATGGCCACACCGATAAAGAACAATCTGCAATTATGAAAGCGCGAGCTCTCTCTCCAACTAGACGAACTGATATTTAACTCACAATATCACACGAAACAATTACCAGCAAGATCTAGTAAACAGCTAGAATCAATCGTCACTTCAACCCACCAGACATATACCAGTTTCGGACTTATTAGTCCTCATCAGATAGATAAGACAACTGACGAGTGATCCAGAGTATACTCGCTCTGTGTCTGCAGTTAAGATGTCAAAAACAGCCAGGTAACGATCCAACACAACGATCGACAATTGGTTGTCTCGCCTATGGTGTACTGATGAGGACTAAAAAGTTCAAAACTGGTATATGTCTGGTAGGTTTGACCGACGAATGGTTCTAGTTGTTTACTAGATATTGCCGGTATATATTAATGCTGGTTGGAATAACTAGCCCACAGGCTAGCAAATAGAACCATGGTCTTTTTTTATGTGCCATGACCAGTGTGTTGACCATCAGCTTCTATATGAAGTAGGGTGATTATCCAGGTTACTTCTTAGAAAATTTCAATCCACATTGAATAATAGTGCAAATTTTACACGAATAAGTAAGATTAGTATTAACATGTTAGTAGCAGGACCACTCAAGAGGGCTCCATAGCAAATAGCCAACCAGCAATACATGTTTAAGGATTTTATTACACAGTTTGTCTAAATATGAATTAATGCACAAATAACAGACTTTCCGCCATTTTAACACAGATTTTCTATAAAATGGACTTAGTTTGAAACTCAGGATACTTTTTGGTGTAAAGAAATTTGTAATTTACAATGCACATTACAAATTTCTTTACACCAAAGAGTTATTTGAGTTTCAAACTAACTCCATTTTGTAGAAAATCTGCGTTAGAACGGAGTAAAGTCTGTTATTTGTGCATTAATTCATATTTAGACAAACTGTGTAGTAAAAATGTACAAAAATGTACTGCTGGTTGCTTATTTGATTTTAACACCGACTTTTGTTGGTCACTCCGACGGCAAAAATATATATTTTTTGTATTTACAAACATTATCTTGATAAGAAATGGACACACAAAATTTATAACAAATTAAAGAAAAATGGTACCGTCAATCTTACCACGAGCATAAATTTCAGTATTAAATGGAATATAATGTGTGACCAACTAAACGGATTCGTCGGAAAGTAAACTAAGAAACGATAACAATGATAAAAGGTAGGCGTCTAACGCAACAGAAGTATCGCAAAAACGTAAAAATAACAAAAAAAAGACAGACACACACGCACACAGACACAAAAGTCAGTCTAGGTTTATTACTAGATTTCAAACCAATCAGTTTAAGAATGAAGTAATTTACCTATCACGTTTTGGTAACGGTCCTTGCTAAAAATGGCGACCTTATGGAGGCGCTTAGCGAGTACTTTCCAACGGTTCCATCCACGATTTCTGTTACAGTAACTGATCTTTCGTGACTCCTGACATAAAACAAATCAAACAGATAATGGGATACAAATTTACCTTGTTAATGTCATCGATTAAATTCGTATCTCTAGTTATCACTTGTAGAAACATTACCTAAATTGCACAACAGAATTTTGTTAGTAAATGATGGCCAATTGAAAACAGCAGTAGGTGCTATTGCATGGACGTTAGTTACAAAATTCAATCACTATATTAGAGTCGCTATTTACAGCACAATTACATCCAATTTTCCAAATTTGATACAGCAATGTTGGTGGCTTAATTATTTTGAGAGAGATGTTTAAATAAGGAACATTTTTAAATGCTACACTCATATTTTACTGCACACCTAATGCAATGTACAGGGTGTTCTAGGTTTAACGAGACAAACTTTATTGGGATATACAGCATAGTTAGCTGTATTTGATGCATTTCTGAGATACAGCATGTTTTATTAACTTTGACTGAACAACTGAATCACTACATTTACTTGGATAATAGTTTGTAGGAGTATAATCCAATCAATAGTGTAATACACAAGGGAGGGACCCAAAAATAACCAGACACCATTTTAAAAAAATACGGAATATATTTTTTCGGGTTACAAACGTTAGTCACCTTCGAAGTACTCGCCATTATAATACACTGGTTCAAACAAAAACAAAAAAGAAACAGGGTGCCAGATCAGGTGAGTAGGGTGGCTGAGGAAGTGGCATTATAAAAGATCGTGCGCAGAGACGGCTCATGAGGTTTTTCGTTAAAAAATCACGCACGGAAATGGCTTTGTGAGCTGGAGCATTGTCATGGTGGAAGAACCAGTCCCCACTCCGCCACAAATCAGGACATTTTAACTGAACACTCATACACAACCATCTCTAAACGCTCAGGTAGAAGAATTGGTGCACTTTTTAATGCCACAAATGTCGAAAAAATGATGCCAGGCCTTTTTCGGACAGCAGCCCTTCCACAGCAACGACAGTTGCTTTGTCTCAAAGCCACTTTTTGATCAGAGGTCAAGAAGCAGGGGACAAATCTCGCCACAATTTGTCTCATTTGCAAATCTTCGGCTAAAATGTCTAATGTCTTCGATCAACAGCGTTTGAGTCGCGAATACCCACTCATACATTTGAGTTCTTGTGTCCGATGCACATTAAAAAATCAAAGAAGTCGAAATAGTCGTCACATGAAAACTATCAGGGGCTCAAGCGACGCTACTTGGCAGTCTGACTCAGAAGGGGTTATGTAAGAAGCCTGAATCACATAAGCAGCACGTGCAGCAAATTTCATCCGGTTACTTTTGGTCCCCCTCGTATTATTAAACAGTTGCAGGGTCGATTTTTTTTATGTTTTCTTTGATGGTTATATTATCACCATTTATATCATCTGACAAATGTTGATAAACATTAAAAAGGCAATTAATCAATATACAGGGTGATTCAAAACTTACCCAAAAAAATTTGGGAGTAGATGCGGCATGAGAAATGTAATCAATATCGCAAAAAAAATTGTAAAATTCTTTGTTTCCGAGAAAAAAATTTTTTAAAGTTGAAGTACCTTCAAGCATTACATCACTGGACAACTGTAGTCTCTAGCATCATTCGCAATGCGCGTGGACAACCACCCGGCATCAGCGACACCGAATACTGAAATACATTTCTACAATCGTCGTTGTGATAGTGTTTACAATAGTTTTTTAAGTAGTTTGTGTCAAAAATGGTTTGCGTGTAAACCTACTCGGAGTTGATGGATATCGTTTTAATTTGTATTGTGGTGAAGCAGGACAACATTTGTGTTAGTTCCTGGAAACTGAGTAAGACGGGCCCAAATGTGTTTACACGATGGTGTGCAAAATTTTGGACAGTTTTTGTATGTCAAATTATTTTATTAATTAAAACCACAAATTAAATTAATTAATTAATAATAACAATAGCGGCAAAAGCAGTTGAACGTGCTGATATAAAATAGGTGCTTGCAAAAGTTGCATTGTGCAAGATCAGGTTTTGCAGTGGACCTGTTTCCAGTGCTGTGCAGAAGTATATTTTTAAATCATTTTCGAACTGCCCTTTTTGATTTTTTCTTTACAAAATTGTATTTGTAAGTCCCTTGTACATCCAAAATTTTTTTTTGGATAATTTCTGAATCACCCTATATAAAATAATTATTTGCCAATTTCCAGATAAATATTTCTAAAATTACAAACACAAATAAATTTGCTTTTTAAATCCGCATGAAATTTAGAAAGAATTCATTAGGCTAGAAGGAATAAGATGTAGGCGAGGCTATATTACGCTTGTGGGCGGAGCCATTTCAGACACAAACTTATTTGTATCGATCTTTGCCTTAGAGCAATTAAAGTAAAAAATATTGTAACTCTTAGCACGCTACAATTTTTGGAATAAGGTAAATTTAGTTAGATTTTAAATATTTTAAAATTACAGTGATGTTTCTCAGTTAAACTCGCTCTTGCTTTGAAGTTTGTCTTTTCAAACTTGAAACACCCTATATATCGACTTGTCAAGGTTGCTCTAAAGGCAGAATGGAAAAATGTTAATTTTGGTCTTTTTCGAGTCTTCCTTTGTAAAATGCAAACTGAAATTGTCAAGAATCAGTCAGTTTTTTTTTATATAAGATCTCCATCACTTATAACGACTAAAACATCAATTCTTGTTTAACAAATTTGGAACATTTCTGTTACAGAAATTATTTTTTCTTCATAAAAATAATGTTTCTAGAAGATTGAAAATGAGAATTATTTTATCATAAACCAAGACTGACATTTATCAATTAAAATTTCACAAAACTACATTAAATTTTGAGAAAAAAATTCATGTATAATTTTTTTTAAATGTAATACAGTAGAACCTTGATTATTCGGATACACGTTAATCTGGAAATCCAGTAATCGGACTCGGACTGAATGTGGCTAAATTCAATAATCCAGACTAATTTAATTTTATTAATATGAATGTTTTAAAATATAGTCTGGATTGTACTGGATTATTAAGTTGCGACGTTCGTAGTAAAACGGAAAAAATTCCCATTTATGGAATATTCTTCAGAAAATTTCTATTGTAAATTTTGAAAAATTTTAATTTCAGTCAACGCCAAAAACTGTGCATTTCCAAATATGAAAAAGGCGCCGTTTAGTAGCTAGGTAAAGGAGAACTCCACTATCAGAAGAACTTGTGTTTGAAAAATTGGAACTTTACAAATAAGTAATCTTGTTGCTACGCCTCCATGGCTATCAAAATTTTAAATCTGCCTGGAAACAGGTCAATTAACTATTAGCGGACAAAAATTATCAAGTGAGAGTGGGTCCGCCTCCATAGAGCCTAGTCCAAAAATAACAGGGTAAGGTCAAAAATTCCTAGAATAATCTTAATCTTTTATCTTGGAAATGATTAGGGATAAACATTAGAAATTTGGTGATGTATAACATCAAACATACTTCGGAAAAAGCCAAAAAAAAAAAAAACTAGAGTTGCCACTTTAGGCGTCATATCTCCTACATTTTGTTGCTAGGTCTCGATGGCTATCAAAATTTAAAAAATGTTCCTGGAAAACCGCCAGACTAACTAATAGTAGACATTTGTCAAGTAATAGTGGGTCTGCTCCCACAGAGTCTAGCCCGAGAATAAAGTCAAAAATTCCTAGAATAATTGTTATATTTTATCTTGGAAACGATTAGGGATAAACGTTTGAAATTTGGTGATATATAACTTCATACATCCTTTGAAAAAAGCCAAAAAAAAAAACTAGAGTTGTCACTTCAGACGTCATATCTCCTACATTTGGTTGCTAGGCGTCGATGGCTATAAAAATTCAAAAAATCCGCCTGGAAAACCCTCCGACTAACTAATAGCAGACAACATTTATCGAGTAATAGTGGGTCTGTCCCCACAGAGCCTAGCCCGAGAATAACAGGGTAAGGTAAAAATATTCGTAGAATAATCATTATCTTTTACCTTGGAAACGACTGGGAATAAATATCTGAAATTTGGCGATGTATATCACGCATCCTTCGAAAAAAGCCAAAAATAAAAACCAGTTGCAACTTCAGACGTCATATCTCCTACATTTTGTTGCTAGGTCTCGATGGCTATAAAAATTCAAAAAATCCGCCTGGAAAACCCTCCGACTAACTAATGGCAGACAACATTTATCGAGTAATAGTGGGTCTGTCGCCACAGAGCCTAGAACAAGAATAACAGGGTAAGGTCAAAAATTCCTAGAATAATCATTATCTTTTATCTTGGAAACGATTAGGGATAAACGCCTGAAATTTGGAGATGTATATAACGCATCCTTCGAAAAAGCCAAAAAAAAAAAACGAGTTGCTACTTCAGACGTTATATCTCCTACATTTTATTGTTAGGCCTTGATGGCTACAAAAACTTAAAAAATCCGCCTGGAAAACCTCCCGACTAACTAATAGCAGACAACATTTATCGAGTAATAGTGGGTCTGTCGCCACAGAGCCTAGAACGAAAATAACAGGGTAAGGTCAAAAATTCCTAGAATAATCATTATCTTTTATCTTGGAAACGATTAGGGATAAACATTTGAAATTTGCCGATGTTTAACTTCAAGCATCCTTCAAAAAAAGTCAAAAAAAAAACTAGAGTTGCCACTTTAAACACCATATCTCCTACATTTTGTTGCTAGGCCTCGATGGCTACACAAAATTTAAAAAATCTGCCTGGAAAACTAACTATTATCAGACAACATTTATCAAGTGATAGTGGGTCTGCCCCCATAGAACGTAGCCCGAGAATAACAAGGACAGGTCAAAGATTCTTAGCTGCGGCTAAGGAGGTGTATTGTAGGTCTGCAACTGGATTCGCAACGCTTTGCTGCGAATTATCAAGGTTCTACCATGTTTAAAAAACAAACGTTATGCCAGATACATATTTGCAAAACAAATCGAAGCAATAAATAAATCAACAGTTAGGGACTAGGGGCATTTTTTTTTTAAGCAACCGAGGAAGTGATGCATTGATCAAACATTTTGTGTTCAGTTATAGTGAAGAGTAATAGTTACCTTGTACGAAGAAAAGGCATTATGATGCCTGCCCCTGTAGCTACTAACAACAAAATAACTTGGAGCACAGTGAGCAGAACGTTGATGAGTTTAACAACGAGGGCCCTCGCGTTTGAGTTGTCCAGTCCCTCAAGGGTAACGTACTGTTGTTGCTGAAGAGCCTGATGCTCCATTTTTTGAATCTGTAAAAAGATGTTATTCGTTTAAGGGACCGACTTTTCTAAATTGCGTTCCACCATTTAATCATACACTCGTCTTTGTCGATAACCAAATGTGTTTCAAGGTCAATTGGAATATTTTAAATAAAAAATACCCATGAAGAAATATCCAGGAATTCTTTGTTTTTGAAATTAAAATAAATAATGTCAGACTTTCCTCCGTTTTAACGCAGATTTTCTATAAAATGGACTTGGTTTGAAACTCAAATAACTTTTCGGTGTAAAGAAATTTGAAATTTGTATCGTAAATTACAAATTTCTTTACACCAAAAAGTTATTTGAGTTTAAAACTAACTCCATTTTATAGAAAAGCTGCGTTAGAATGGAGGAAATTCCGTTATTTGTGCATTGATTCATATTTAGAGAAACTGTGTAATAAATTTGCAGTTAAATTACTTGATATATACTGTTCTTGACCTGTTAAATTTGCTTGTTAACGTCTACCCTGATTATTAACCTGTTAACACAAAATATGTACTAACGCATTCCCACTTGCACGCATATGACATGAAAGAACACACCTAAGTTGGAAACTGAGAAATAGAGGAATGTAACTATGCAGTGCTGTTCGTCTGCCTTTTTATACACTTTAAACTAAGATAAAAATGTGGTATCTTCGCCTCTCGTTGATACACCACACTTTATGTTAAAAACCTTAGAAAATATTTTAGAAAATGTGATTTTTTTCTAAATTTCAACACCTTGAATTGCAAAAACAAACATTTTTCAGACATTCCATCAAAAGATACTAGATACTATCCTGACCACTCGAATTCAAATATTAAATTTGGCGAATTAATTATGATTACAACTCGGTACAGCTCTTACTCACTTTGGTTTGACAATGTTCCAGCATTTCGTGTATATCCCTGAGTCTCTCCTCGCTCTGGTATTGCACTTTTTCTTCCATATCTGCCATGGCCTGCTTCAGATTCTCCACTTCGTTCTGATGCAGCTCCGTCAGGTCGTTAATCTGCTCCTCCAGTCGTTCACTTCTAAATCTTTCTTCCTATGGAGCGAAATAAAGTAAAAATTAGTTCCTATGAAAATTAAAATCATACCTGCGCCATCTACATGCCAGACCCAGAACTTTTCAAACGACCCTCGTAAATTTTCTGTATCAAGTTGATCGTTTTTTATGTTATTTGTATCATAAGTTTCGCCATTTCATTAATAAAGACTATTTTTTCTGTTTTGTGCATAACAAACAATGATTGAACGACTTACAAAAGCTTATATGTGCCATGTACAGGGTGTTAATGAACTTATGTCAAAAATTTAAAGGGGTGAAAAAGGAGCAAAAACTGAGTTAATTGATGTCACAAACTTGTATCGGAAGTTTAAGGTCATAGAGAAACAAGCTAATTAAAAATGTTTTTAAAACTGTTTTGGAACTGCTGAAATACATGTATTTTATCGCAGCGAGTACTTACAAAAAATTCTGTAACACTTTTTACGAGTTTGTAGGTTTCTTATGAAGAGACTGTATTTGAAAGTCGTTTCGTTCGAAAGTTTGTTGTAGTGATTGCTGTGCTGTTTTTTGAGAGCACATTTAATAGCCGTATTTCCAAGCTTTCTTTTGAAAATGGTGCATTTATTTAGCATTCGCGAATATTATGATATGCTCATCATTTATAGCGAAGTAAACGAAAATGCCCACAGAGCTTGTCATGTGTACCGTGCAAGATATCCTGAACGACGAAGTTTGTAATACGATTCGAGAGGACGTAGAGCGAATTGGATACGTCGCACTGAAGCTTGTGTGCAAGCAAATGGTGGGTACATCGAACATCTTCTATGAAAATCTGCAGTTCTCAAAAGGTGGCTCCTTGCAATGTTGAGGTAAGTCAGATTTTATATGTATTCTCTTATTTTCATATATATATTTTATTTTCATTTATTTTTTCATTATTTGTTACAGTGGACATGTGACAATAAAAACTGTGTTAAAACACTCACTTCACTTTCATTTGGAAAATGGGCAACATTTTTCAATTCACTTAATAAGAAAAGGAACTTCCAAAATTTTAGCAATAGATAGATTCTTGGGGAAAACAGTACAATTTAAAAAAAATGTAAAATCAAATATGAAACACTTTACTTTCTAACCAAAATCCCATTCTTTATGTTTTAACTATTTAGCCAAACGATTTCGAGTAAAAAAAAAAATTAATACTGAAAATTTGTGAATATCAAAGGTCACAAGATCACTTACTTGCAATGCCGCATTTAAAAACTGAATTTCGGCCTGCAGGGTCTTGACGTTATCAAAATTTTCTCTAAAAGTATCTATTTGTTCCTGGACAGTTCTTATTTTCTTGTTCATGTCTAAAAAGGTATCCTGGTGGCAGCTTTCCTCTGGCCTTCCATACCTAAAATCAACAGATTATAACTTAAATTTCAGTTAACCTGTTATTCCGGTTACAATCCCAGTCCACAAGCGATGAATACAAACGCCTCTATGTAAAGCCTTAAATTTACCAAATTTATCGTAGTTCGCTGGCAGCGTAAGCTGACTTGGAATAAATCCAATATTCAATTTGGAAGTTTTCACACGTAGTTCTAGTTTTCACATAGAACTTTTTCATTTACAATGTTTTATATATTTTCTTACTTCATCGTTAATCAAATATATCCGAAAATAGACAGAGTATAAATAATTTGTTTTTACAAAAACAAATTGCATTCACTTTGAAGCTTTTTAGTACAATGATAAAAATAACTTACAAGCATTTCCTATCTCCACAACTATTTATTATTGATTAAGTTCCAAAATCCATTTAAATATTTTGAAAAAGTTAATCAAACATACAACATTATCTATTTCTAAATTTAGCTCAGATAAAAAACATTTGACAGCAAATAAATATTACAAGGCATATTCAAATTAACAATGTTTTCTTAAATAAACATTTGTCCTTGAGCTATTTTTGAGGCACAGGGTGTTAGAATGTCGCTGGCAACATTTTTTTTATGTCATTACTGAAAAACAATTGGAATAAAAAAGATCTTTTTACATAGCTTCTTACCAGTTTGGTACAAATTAGTAAAGGTTTGGCATGATCTGGTTTGGAGCATTTTCGAGTTGTTTTTCAAAGCACTAGACTGTGCGAAAATAAGTGCAGAGCCAAACAGTCCTTTGAAATTAAACTTTGAATTCAAGTTTTACAAAATATAAGGTAATAATAAAATAATATAATAAGGTATAAATTTTCATTATATTCATTTTTAATTTAAAATTCTTTGTTTTAAAAAAATATTAACCAAATTATGCGTTTGAAAAAATATCCCTTAACATGTGCTGCTTCTTTCATTATGTTTAGTAGGGTGGCTCAAAAAAAAAACGAATATTTTTTTCGTGTCTCTTGTGAAAATATGTTAGTTTATCATGTTTTAAGGGCCCCCTCAAAAAATCTGCTCAAAAAAAATTTTTTTAGAGGTCGCTCAAGATTTTTAAAAATTTCCAAAATCGTCAAAAATTGAATTTTTTTAAAAAAATTTTTTCTCGTTATTTTTATCATTTTCTAGGTTGAAAAAAATCTCGATTCTGAAAATTTCAAAACGATATTTTGATTTCTAAAGGTCATTCATAATTATTTTAACTTTAAAAGTAGTGTACCTAAAATGTTTTCGAGCGACCTCTAAAAATAAATATCAACAAGAATAAATATCAACGAAGTAATAATTTTTTTAATTGAATTTGATGAACAAAAGAATAGAAATAAATCACGACACTTATGAAATTTCTTGAGGCAAAATTTACTATCGCACTGTGAGTATCAAATATTTATAATTTTTTAATTTTTTAAAATTTAAGTGTCTCGTGGTTTATTTCTATTCTTTTGTTCATCAAATTCAATAAAAAAAATTATTAGTTCGTTGATATTTATTTTTAGAGGTTGCTCGAAAACATAGGTACACTATTTTGAAAGTTAAAATAATTATGAGTGACCTTTAGAAATTAAAATATCGATTTGAAATTTTCAGAATCGAAATTTTTGACGATTTTAGAAATTTACCTCAAAAAAACTTTTTTTTGAGGGGCTCTTAAAACATGATAAACATATTTTCACAAGACACGAAAAAAAAAATTCGTTTATTTCGGGCCACCCTAATGTTCAGGTAAATCAAATTCATTTGAGCCCTGAGGGTAGGATGTGCAGTGGCAAAGTAGTAGAGAGGGGAGACTATACAGGGTGATTCAGAACTTATCCAAAAAAACAATTTTGGATGTACAGGGGACGCTTATAAATACAATTTTGTAAAGAAAAAATCGAAAATGATTTAAAAATACACTACTGCATGGCACTGGAAACTGGTCCACTGTAAAACCTGACCTCGCACAAAGCGAACAGGCGCGGCATGGTGGTAAATTGTGATAAAAACAGACTATTAGAAAAAATTTCACAAGAAAAGAAATAAATAGAATTTATAGCACCTATTTTATAACAGCAAATTCAACTGATTTTGCCGCAATTGTTATTATTAATTAATAAAATTAATTTGTGGTTTTAATTAATAAAATATATTTGTCCACATATTTGGGCCTGTCTTACTCAGTTTCTTCAAACTAACACAAATGTCCTGTTTTCATCATAACACAAATGTTTCATCATAATACAAATGTTGTCTTGCTTCACCACAAATTAAAACGATATCCATCAACTCTGAGTTGCTATATACGCAAGCCATTTTTGACACTAACTACTAAAAAACTATTGTAAACACTATCGCAACGACGATTGTAAAATCGGATTTCAGTATTAGGAGTCGTGGCTGTCCACGCGTATTGCGTATGAAGCTAAAGACTATAGTTGTCCAGTGATGTAATGCTTGAAAGTACTACAACTTCAATAATTTTTTTCTTGGAAAGTATAAGGATTTTACAATTTTTTTTACGACATTGACTCCATTTCTCATGCCTCATCTATTCCCAAATTTTTTTGGATGTCGTGAATCACCCTGTATCTTTACTATGGGTCAATCTCGTTTGTGTGCTCTCTTTTTGATTTGTGCTCAAATGAAATTTGTCCAACTGCAAGGAACATGAAAGAAAAAGCATAAGTTTCAAATACATAATGCATTTATGAACGGAATATAATTTGGCGGCAGATTTGAAATCTTAAGTTTCATTCTGGAAACTTTTCTGTTTTGGAAAAGTTTCTTGGGAAGGATATATAGAAAGAAATTTATCCAAACCTTAAAAATTTCCTTCTGAAAAGTCTCTAAAAATGGGAATTTTTAAATTGTGGAAAATTTCCTGAACCCATGTCTACAAGGTGTTCAGAAGTGAATGATCTTTACTTCAGCAATAGTTTTCTGGTTATCTTGGTACAATTTTGTCCCCTAATAAGTTACAGGGCTTTGAAAAAATGTTTTTATTTCTGTTTCAGATGACTGTCACTTTTAAATATATTTCCATGAAATACGATTTGGTTGGGTGTTAGAAATAGCCAAATATAAATAAGAAGTTATTATTTACCTAAAGCATACAAGTCTTCTATTCTTCTTGGATATTTTTTCTGTAAGAAAAGATTTTTTTTGCAAAATTTTCAACTAAAATATCTTTATGATTTAGGCCATATAGACCTGTGAATTTTTAATAGAGCTAAATTGGTAAAATCATTAAAAAAATTAGATTTAGTTTTAGATAAAAAAAAATAAGATCATAGTCATACTCAGCTACCCGAAAAAAAACTTAGCATACAAAATTTATTGGGATATCCTTTTTCGACACCCTGCACATTATAACGTGGCATATCAAAAAAATTACCTCCCGATACTGTCGCTAGTAACGCTACTGCACTCGCTTCCCTCATCGCTGGGGAATTTCGTTCGTTGGTGTGCCTGACCCATTGAACCCTGCGACGTGGCTATGTGCAAGGTAGCCGGCAACGTCGCCGATCCGTGGTGCACCTTGTCGCCCTGCTCGCTGCCGCCATTAGCGCCGCTTCCCTCAGATCCAGTTGCACCGGGCCCTATGTACCACGCTACGGATTATAATCATGGTGTTACGGGTGGTGCACAGCCATGCCAGTGTTAACTAGTGCGTTTGTTAGGCGTCTATTATGGTATTTGTACAAAGAAAAACCCTTGCGGTAAGTGGTATTAGGTTTTTGGAAAAAAATTTTGTGAGAGAGAGAGAGAGATTTACGGGTAGAAACACCAATTGTTTTCCTTCTCATGCACACAGATAATGTCTTACTTGGGCTACTATTTAAATTACGGATAGCAAATGGAACCAATACACCACCTACAGAAATGAATATATGAATATATCATGAATTTCGTTACAGGGGTTTTGTAAGTTACATAAATTATGTAGGGAAAAAATGGGCTTTAGAATTTCTGACACCTCTAAAATACCATGCAAAACTGATATTCAGATTTATCATCCTGCAGAAAATTAAAATCTTGCAATTTTGTTACCAAAGCGAGAATAATTATTACTTATTATAATTTCAGTAATAAAGGACCACAGAATTGATATCATATCGATTCAGATGAAACAAGTTCATCGTTAAAATATAAGCAAAATTTTTGCAGTAAAAATTATATATAGGGACGTTGAATAAGTTCTTGCTGTTCTCCAACAGATGGCGCCACCAGAGCTGCAAGTGTGTAATTTAAGATGACGACGCACCTAGAAATAACTACTATAAACAAGCTTAAAATTCAGTTTATAGTTCGCCGAAATGTAAATTACTTTATTTTTTTCATAGTCATGTCAAATTTTGTGCTGAAAAATGAGTATTTGCAGGGAATTTTACTGCACTAGTTGCTTCAAAAGAAAATTGCAGCAAAGCACACAGAATTCCTGTCGAGACTTACGGCGACCATGCTTTGTGGCAAACAATATGCAGTGTAGACACTTGAAAAGTAATGATTTTGATGCTGAAGATAAAGAACGTTCTGGCACCACCGAAACGGATTGAAGATGAAGATTTGGAGGCATTAATTCATGAAGACTCATGTCAGACATTAGCTGAGCTTGCAGAACAGTTTCGAAATGTTTGGATGCATTAAGAATGATTCAAAGGGACATTGGGTGTTGTATAAGTTGAAGCCGAGAGATGTCGAACTGTCTCTACATGTGTGAACAGCTGCTTCAGCGGCAGGAGAGGAAACTGGTGATGAAAAATGAATATGCTACGATGATCCTAAGCGTAGAAAATCGTGGGGCAAGTAAACATTATCGGCAAAGCCAAATATCCTTGGTTCCAAGCTTCTGCTCTGCATTTAGTGAGATGAGTTGGGTGTAGCTTATTATGAGCTGATCAAACCGAATGAAACCATCCCGGGAGATCGTTATCGACCAGAATTGATGTCTTCGAGTCGAGAACTGATGGGAAAAACGGTCTCTACATAAGTAGAAATACGATAAAGTGATTTTGCAGCATGACAACGCTCGACCACATGTTAAAATACTGCTGAAAACATAATCGGAAACGCTTAAATGAGAAGACCTACCCCATTCGCCACATTCACCAGAAATTCCTCGTTCCGATTATCACCTGTTCCACACATGGCCTGGCTAAGCAGCATTTCCATACTTATGAAGATGCCAAAAAATGGGTCAACTCGTGGACTGCCTCAAATGACATGTAGTTTTTCGGACGTGGAATTAAAATGTCAGATAGGTGGGAAAATATGTATACTGGCTAGCGATGGACCTTCAGTGGCATATTTTTTACAAATTTTTTTAAATAAAGCATTCATTTTCACGAAAAAACAGCGAGAACTTAATCAATTACTTTTTAAAATAATTGATTTCCCTAAAGTTATTTAAAGTAATAAAAAACAATTGGACAAAAAATCAGTTAGCTGCAGAATGAACAATCTAATATCAGTCGACTGTACAATTTTGACAAGCTTTTTAATGGAGATGGCTGGCTACGATGATCATTTACCTTCAACTAATTTTGTTTGTTCATGTAAATCAATGTAGTTTCCCGTATTTAGTGGCAAAAATAAGAAAATACAGTTTCAAAATGTGTAAGTATTAGATATTTATGGAGCCTTTAAAAAAAAATTCATGCAATCGTCAGATATACTTACTTGAAAGTTGACTAATATTATCAGCGCTACCAAATTTATTTTTGATTAAATGTGCGAATTCCCTAGGTTTCGACATAACAGACCCTCCCACATAACTGATACCATCTCGAATATTACCTCCAACGTTTCTATAATAGAGAAAAAGAAAGGCGCATTTAGAATAATTACAAATAATCACGTTCGACATTCTATGATTCAGATTTTTATTCATAACACAGGTCAACAACGGTCAAGAAACAGACACACTAATGTGCATTCCGGAAGGATTTTGGTGCGCTGAATTCGAATCTGGCCGCAGAATTGCTCTATCACGTCAGGTTTTTGAGATATCCTAACCTAAAAGTGCAAAAAACACATTTCGTGTATTTGAGGTTATGTAATAATGCCATCAATTCTTTTTCAAAAAAAATAAATACATATAATTTAAAAGTACAAGGCTCCCTCTTTCGAATGCCGTTGAGTTTGCTCAAATATCTTTTTTTTTTCGTTGCGATATCACATGTTGAAATTTCTAAGTTTATCAGTTTCTTAATATGCGAAAATCTACTAAGGATCCCTTAGACGTCAAACAGTTGATTACAGTTCAGAAACTTCATACTCAGAAACCTTCAATACATACAAACTCAAACTCACAAACTCCAAATCCACAAACCCACAAACCCCAAGCCCACAATCCCTAAACCCACAAACCCCAATCCCACAAAACCCGAACCTACAAACTCCAAACTTACAAACCCCAAGCCCACCAACTCCAAACCCACAAACCGTTTGGGTATGAAGTTTCTGAATTGCAATCGACTGCTTGATGTCTAAGTGATCCTTAGTAGATTTTCACATATTAAGAAACTGAGAAACTTAAAAATTTCAACATGTGACATTTCAACGAAAAAAAAGATATTTGAGCAAACTCAACGGCATTCGAAGAAGGGGGCCTTGTACTTTTAGATTCAATGTATTAGTTTTTTGAAAAAAAAAAAAAAAAATAGATGGCATTACTACATAACCTCAAATTTGACGAAAAACAGTGTTTTTGCACTTTTAGGTTAGGATATCTCAAAAACCTGACTGATAGAGCAATTCTGCTGCCAGATTTGGATTCAGCGCACATAAATCCTTCAGAAATATATATTCAAGTTTCTGCTTCCAAAAAAAAGTTAAATTTTGTTGGTCTGTGTAATTATTTCAAAATTCAACGACTCGTTCTGTATTTTTTTTTTTTAATTTTGTAATAAAACATATTTAAACCAAGATTATATCGTACATACTTGATAACAAGTTCCTTTTTTATATTTTTTTTTCGAGTAAATGTATTTATTATTTACATTTCCTAACAAAAATGTACGAATTAAAAACAACTCTGCCTTAATAACTGAAGAATGAAAACGTTAATTAATACTTTAAAAACTAAATAATACTTAAGTTCAGGCAATATAAACATGCCACATAAAAAATTATAGTTGCTTAGGCAGTGCAGCAAATCATTATAGCTTAACGTAGAGTTCTGATTGTACAAGTTCTTTGTTGGAAATACTACTTAGAACACAATTAATCACAGAGTGAACGGTTCATATGCACTAAACATAAATATGGACATTACAAAACACCGAAGACTCTTTATAACACAGAATCATTTTGTAGTTTGCAGGATGAAAAAGCTAGTATAAATAATTGCTACATGTTAAGAAAACAAAATGAATGACATATTATCATTAAAACAATGCAAATCAAAGACAATAATTAAAATGCACTTACTTCAATCCCTGGCCCATATCCCTTAATACCTCCCTTGGTCTGTGACTCTGAACAACGCCGTGAGTTTCTAATTCATGCACACGTTTTTGATAAATATCTAACTTTTTTTGTAACTGAGATATGATTTGTGCACTCTTTTGATTTTTCTTTTCAAAAACGGCTTTTATTCTTTGGACTTGTTGCTTGTCTGCATTAGCTGCCAATTTAAGGTACTCGTTTACATTATCTAAAAAAAAATTACTGTCAACATGATCAAGAAGGGCATGCTAGACACAAGAGATTATTATTATTATTATTTGGTTTTATTATTCCCAATATTTCACTAGAACAGACAACTTGTATATATTTCTTTAAATGTCTACAAATAATTTTTAACCTTACATAATCGTTTAGTGAAAATATTATTGAAAATATTACAGATTCCTTAGAAATTGTTAATTAATAACACATGTATTTCCATGTATTTTTTCCTGCTGAATCCGAATCTGCCTTCAGATTTGGCCCAACGGGTCTGAGTTTTCGGGAAAATTAAAAAAACAAGTCAAAATTCACAAAAAATGTAATTTACGATCAAAGCAAATTATTCTACCAGTTCACTAGATGAATTCTGATTATTATTATTAATGATTATTTATGAATTCATACATCTTTATATCCAGTCGTTCATGCATGAATTTGCATATTTATTCATCCACCTGTACCACCTATAAAACCCACCCATCCACCCATCTACCCATCTACTTTTTGTGCTGAGAGATGAGATAACAGCCTAGAAGATTGAGAATGCCATAAAACTTGTAGAATACTCTACTTTCTAAACAAAAGAAAACGTTGGATCCAGAACTTTGCAACACGAATTATGCCATGAAAACGGCGTTTTTAATATATTTTCTGTTTTTGAATGAATTTGGACCAGCTTGTCTGACTCTATGATGATAAATTGGAATTAAACGAGTGAAAAATCATATGTCTAGTGAGCTGGTAGAATAATTTGACTTTTTATAACTTTTGTCGATCGTAAATGACGTTTTCTGTGAATTTTGAACTGTTTTTTGAATTTTTCCGAAAACTCAGACCCATTGGGCCAAATCTCAAGGCAGATTCGAATTTAGAGGAAAAAAATACATGGAAATACATGGGTCTGAATACCAGATCCGATTTTTTTTTTGTGGGGCTGTGTAATTAATTACAAAAGTTTTTTGCTCAAAATGAATATTTTAAACAGGTGTTTGCTGCCGCGCTATTTCGTGACGTCCTTTAGTGCGATTCAGAATCAAGAAGATGAATAACAGGGACAGGACTGCCCGACAGCATGAACATAATAAGTAACAAGTGTCTAAAGACAACCAAATTCACTTCTTTTCGAAGAGAGAAGCAGGTTATGTCGTCGCACTGAATGACGTCACAATACGTTCCCACGTGAAAATATTTAAATTTGACAGAATTCTAACAAGAAAGAAATAAATTATTTTTTACCACTATTATTTGTTGTCAATTATAGATTACAATTCTAAAAGAAATCACTTTTCTCAAGGCTACAATAACAATTTCAAGCCCTATGAATTATTTAAATGCATCCCAAAATATCGCTTCGAGTAAATTAAGAAAATGTATTTATACCTACCATCTCTAAGTTTTTGTTCAGTCCTTATTAGATCCCTAACCCTAACGATTTTATTTCCTAAATGTTCAAGAACAGCATTAGTCTTGGGATCCATACCATCCGCCTCATCGTCCTGTTTGAGTTCCGAGCTGCCATTGGACAAGAACGATGAAGGGTAGTAGAGATCAGACGTATCACCCTCTACAGGGGGCCCTGTGTCGTCAAGATTGCTGGACTGCGTAGAATCATCCATGTCTGCTGTACGGTTTAGACTAGTAGTTGGTGATCTGTGACGAGAAGCTTTGTGTGTGTACGCTGTTCCACCATCTTGAGACTGAAAATAAAAAAATACGTATAAATCTCAAGTCGGTTCAATTAACATCTAATTCCTTAGGTGCTTGCTAAATATGAATTATGGAACTGCCGATATTAAAAAGAAAATACTGGCAGTACCTATAGTCTTTCTGAAGTCAGTTGAAGATGTATAAAAACGCCTAGCAATAAAATTTAATGAGTTTCTTAGGCGTCCCTAAAAAAGTTTTCTGCTAAAGGTAAAAAATTGTAATAATTTGTATAAAATGTGTCGAGAATTTCTATTATATGTTCCTTTGACCAACAACATATTTTAATTATTTATTCCCTTAAACAATTTTATTAAATCAATGGTAAATTTCGTTTTGTTCCATTTCAAAAGGTCTCCAAAATGCCATATTGTAATAATATTAGTAAACAAAATATCCCTTTATTTAAGGCTACTGTTACATACACATAAAAGTGGTTACACGCGTCCAAAAAAAAAAAAAGTGGTAAATAACAATCAACTAACTGTCATAAAAATATACATAAACAACATATAATTAAAATAAATAGGATAAACGACATCCTAAGATTCATATTCGAGCTAGATTACTGTCAATAAAATCTTCAAAACTATAAAAAGCACTTTTTATTAAGTATTTTTTTATCCTTGATTTATTATTTTCATTAAAAATTTGAATTTGGTGAGGTATTATGTTAAAAAATTTGATGGCCCAATAATTAGTACCGACCCGCGTTTTACCAAGTCTTAGAAATTTGTTACATAAGTATGTGCTCTTTCGGGTATTATAAGAGTGAGTCTCTCTTCTGATTTCAAAGTTATGTATGTGTTTTTTGACATAAAGAGGACATTGAAGTATATATGCACATGGTACAGTTAGAATGTTCAATTTAGAAAACTGCTATGAAAACTGATATGATTCTAATAATTTTTCTCTGAAGAGTAAAAACTTTTTTCATAGAGAGAGCATGACCCCATACTAAAATAGCATATGTTATGATGGAATGGATATAGCCATGACAAACTATCAGCAACCTTGATATTGAGACTCTTCGTTTGAGACTCCGGAGTAAAAAAATATGTTTTGATATCTTGGAGCAAACATAATTAACATGTTGATCCCACGTCAGTTTAGGGTCAAGATGAACTCCCAAGAATTTTACACGTGCTGGATTATCCCAGTTTTCCATATTCCGGAGACTAAAAATCATAGTTTCGGTCTTCGAAGTATTCAAACTGAGTTGATTACTAGTAAACCAGTTTTCTTCCGATGCATGTTGGTCATAAGTTGATGTCATTAACTGTTCAAAGTTTAAGTTGGTTCTAGTTATATTGGTATCATCAGCAAAGAGTATACTTTTAGTATCATAAGGTAAACAATTAGGGAAATTATATATATCAATTATATATATCGTTAATATATATCAAAAACAGTAACGGACCCAAAATATGGAACCTTGTGGAACTCCATGTTCAATATTTCTTATGGATGATTTCACATTATTATATACAACATACTGTAATCTATTACTCAAATATGATTTTAATAAATCCGAACTGTACGATGAAAAACCATAATTATGTAGCTTATGTATAAGAATTTCGTGTGATACACAATCGAAAGCTTTTGTCAGATCTAAAAATTGACTAGCAATGTATTTCCCTTCTTCAAAACTATTGTTTATTGTGGATGTTAGACAATCTATGGCTAGTGTAGTTGATAGATTACTTCGAAAACCGAATTGTTGAGGACTGAAAACTCCCCGAGTCTCAAAATAATTAGTTATTTATATTTTTAAGATAGTTTCATATATTTTAGGTAGATGAGGTATTACAGATATAGGTCTGAAATTAGAGGGATTATTAATATCATTATTTTTATAAATAGGAACAACCTTAGAAATTTTTAAACATTGGGGGAAAATATTTTTACGTATACACTAATTAATTAAATCGGTATTAATATTGGGTCGATTATTGATTTTAAAATTTTTGTTGAAATATTATATACATCCAAACAGGGTTTGCTCTCAAAACTCTTAACAATAGCAATGACTTCAGAAAAGGAAAAACTATTCACTGGACGGAGTAATTGGAGGCAACTATTTAAATCGTTGTTATTAACGGGTAAATTGCTTATAACATTGTTAGAAACATTTATAAAATCGTTATTAAACTGCTCGGGTATCAAGTTACTCAAATTTATTCCTTTATATTTCTCCCTTTCGCAATTGTAATATGAATGCCTATAATAAATTAAAATTACCTGAATCACACCAAATTCCGCATTGCTGCACTGCACCGCTAGGCCTTTTGTTGAAAACTGAATTTATGGCCAGGTCGCCCCGTGCGGCTGTATTTGTGCCACGTTTGCCAGCGCGCTCATTCTTCAACCGGGCGACCAGAATTATGGGTATGGCTAAATTAATATGGGAACAATTTTTTCAAATATTTCAATGCCGAGTTGCTGCGTCAGCGACCGAACTTGGTACATACTGCCAACCTCTTGGTTCTTCAGCTGAGATCGGAAATACTATACCAGAAGTTGTAATATACAGAAAAAATATGTAAGTGCATTAGCATTAGATTTTACTTTTTAAACTCTTTTTAAATACATTAAAATATAGAAGACAAAAACAAATTATGAGAAATTGTGTCTGATCATTGAACAAGTATTTTAAAAGAAAAAATAAATTAATTGTTCACAAATTCGTTTGAGAAAACAATGTGTCAGTACTATTTAATAAACCCTGATATTCTATTCATAGTAACCCATTTAGTTGACCTTCATGTATAATAAAATCTCTCAGTTTAATATGTCAGCAGATCAATTTATGTTAGTTTTTACTATCTGTCTCAATGTCTCAATACTATTTCATTACTTCAAATGACTAGGTAAAATTTGTAAATATATTCTGAAATTTCTATGAATATTAAAATAGAATCAAACAATGGGACGAAATGAACCATAATTTTAAATATTTAATGTTACTGAATGAATGATCTAAGTAAAATGTGAAACAATTACAATGACGTATTGTGCTGACATGAAATATTTTTATAAGCAACAAGTGTAGAAAATAACACTTTTTTTCAGGAGTGGTAATTTACTCATGAGTGAAAAAAGTACTTCACTCACGAATTGCACACGATATGTTTTCTGTTACCCACCGAAAAATTATCTTATCAATTAACTGTTTAATATCTGCCACTGACCGACAAATTTGTACACCAAATTAAATAATTTTGTCTATAATTAATTATATTATTAGACCAACATTTATCAAATTAAGTCAAATTATCATCAGAGACATTTGATGAAATGTAGCTAACATTTGTTTTAAACTTGTACTGAGACTGTGATGCCCTGTGGCTTTTGTTTTCGACAAAGTTGACAATACGGCATTCAAGGCCAAGGTGTTGGGAGCAGAACGGCCCTCATTTGTCTCAGTTGGTTGAGAACTGTTGTTGTAGTGGCATGTTGAAAATGAGTGCTGTTATTCCGAATCCCGCCAGGTGAACAATTTTTCAACTGTATTGTGATTGGCGACGAAACTGGGAGCACACTACATCTCTGAGACGAAAACAATCAATGCAGTGGCGACATCCGTCTTCACCATCGCGAAAAAATTCAAAACCGTTGCTTCAGTCCGAAAAATCATTTCAATTGTGTTTTGGAACCGTAAAGGGATCCTCCTCATTGACTTTTTGCCCCAGGGGGAAACAATTAATGCTGCGCAGTACTGTGACATCCTGGAAAAGCTCCGGAGGACGATACAGAACAAAAGACATGAAATGTTACATTGGTTAAATGCAGTCAACGCCACAAAGCAACTCTTGGATTCATTCAGTTGAAGCATCATGAACCACCCTGCTAACAGCCCTGACCTGGCATCTTCTGATTTTCATCTTTTCTCTTCTCTGGTGGTGTTTATGGATGGAAAAATGTTTTCTCGGACGATGGGGTCCACAGTTCCGACTACATCGAAAAATAGTGTTTGATGCACCTTTCTGATTATGTAATGTTTTCATAAACATATTGCCGTTTTGCGTTTTTTAAAATTGGGTATCCTTACTTTGTGGATAGGCCTCGTACATAAAATGTAATCCGTTAATCACTTCGCACAAGTCTCTAGTTTCAGTAAAGTAAAAAAGAAAAGATAAAAATGATAAAGTAATTAATATATAATCTTCCAATTCAGGTAAATTTGTTCATCACTGCTGTTTATATGAGTCATTTAGCAAAAATCGATAAAATTTGCAAGGTTTTCCTACCACCGATGTTTTAACGCAAATATTTATTAAGTTACATACTATGTTTGATACTATTTTTATCAGTGATGAGTCACTAATTTAACACAATTTTATATCCTCAGGATTAGCTGATATAGATACTTACTAGTATTAGCATTACCATTCATTACTATCCAAATCTGACATTTAAAAATATATTCATATGTACGTTACAAAATTAAATCATTTTATGATTATTTGTGTGTAACAATATATACAATTAAACGCAAAAGTTAAAAATATTAAACGTATTTTTAATAAGCAAGTATTTAATTCATTCAAATTCAAAACAAAAAATTATTTTTTTCAAATTTCCGACTTCTATGGAATTATTAAGAATAATTTACATACTTCGTTTAAATTTTAACACTATAGATGCATTTTTTGATGTTTTTTTTTCTCTTACGAACAAGACAAATATGCTTTTGCCACTCAAGTTGAATAATCTACGATTATAGATGCAATCAAAATAAAAAGTCTTTTGACTTGCAGCAAATGACAACGACGATAACAGAATTGATATCGATTATCTTCAGATAAGCAGATAATAACATTAAATTGTTTGTATTATCACTTTTGCGATAAATTCTATAATGGTTTTTACTGTACTTAATACTTAATTTGGTAAGCAAGAATAATAATTGATTATTTTTGTAATTACAACGCACTAGAAACATCAAAATTAGTAACAAAAATTATTGGTATAGTGAAATTATTGCTTT